CAAGGTAAACATATGAGCAAATTCTCCACCGTCTTTACTTCCGTCATTTTGAGCCTTGTCCTTTTTAGTCATATTGCTAATTTTACACCTCTCTGTTTTTTTCTCCTTATAATTTCTTGTTTTGCTGTAGCTTAGTTAATCCAGAACTCCTCAGTTCTTCTTCTTCTTCTTCTTCTTCTTCTTCTTCTTCTTCTTCTTCTTCTTCTTCGCGTGCTCGCTGCGTTCGGATCTGTCCGGTCACTTGCTTCCGGCTTCAATTGATTCAAGCACTGTTAGCTTGACGAGAAAGTTGACGAAGATATCATAATCAAGCTTAGCATATGTGTGCCGTTGAAGTAGCAGAACGATTGGAGGTATGAGTTTTCTCAACTCTCGAACTTTGATGATTTATAATTTAGGAATTCAATTTAGCGTATTTTGCTTATGGTAGATTTGGATGAGTTCACGAACTAGTAGATTGATTTTTACTTTATTTTATTTTATTTTGATTCGGCGTTAATGGAGGTTCTGAACAATTTTTCCAGTAAGATGTAAAATACCGCAATGGCATATCTAGTAAATTCAACGAGAAATTATGTTTTGAATTAGTCAAAGAAGAAAATGTTGTATATAATAAACATGAATAATTTGACATGATAATTTTTCGACCGAGAAATATAATTCACTGAATTTTCCGTAATTTTGTTTGAGCTTTAGGTTTGATTAAACAATTCGTCTCCTCTTAAAATATAGTCATTGCAGTCTCGTGCTTCTCTACGCTATCGCTTAGTAAATTATAGCATTTTGCATCTGATCTGGTCTCCCGAGAACGCTACAAAGTTGCTGAAAGAAGAAAAAAAACAAAAAAAACAAAAAAAAAACTCAACTGCTCCTATGTATTTGACCAATTGATCTGTGGAAAGTCTTGACACGGAATGAACTATTACTGGTGGTATTTTGTTGAAAAGTCTAAAAAACTAAATGCTGGCTTTCATGACTATGTCCAACCATGTTAGTTCAATTCTGTGATGTTTCTCAAAATAGTTGGGGAAACAAAAGTCCATGTAGGATTTAGATTGCAGATGATATGCGATTGATGCCATTGACAGAGCTTTATATCCCAATCTCTTTTCATTGAATTTTCCTGTTGTTGCTTATGTTTCAGTAACTGTTCTCTCCATTTAAGAGTAACTGTTGTGGCGTGCTACTGATAAATTTTGGGTTTTGGTTCAGCGTGGTAGTTTGGTTTCATGATGATCAATATGTTGCAAAACCAGGCTCAGAGCTATTGATGCAATTTTGTAATCACCAAAATGAAGAAATCTTATGGCGGTATTGTGGCTGCAAGTTTGTTCATGCTGCTAGTTTTGAGATATGGCATCCTAAACTACCCCACTGGGGATAGTTTCTTGACCAATGCACTCTACACCAATACTAGTAATCCTCTTGAATGGTTAAATACTGTTCCACCTGCAGTTCAGAATCCAGAGAATGCTTCTCAAGTGATTTCTGCTGAGATTGTAGTCTTTAGCCTCTTTGCTCAGAGGAATGTATCCAATGAGGAACAGCAAACTATGCAGACATGGAACCTTTTGAAACACCTTATCAATCAAGCTCAGGGTTTGCCCCATGCGGTGGATGCTATAAAGGAAGCTGGAGGTGCATGGAATAGCCTTATGACTTCAGTTGAAGAACAAAGACTTGGTTATACAAATGAAAGTTCACCTGGGAAAGCAAAAGAGAAGCAGTGTCCTTATTTTCTCAATAAAATGAACGGGACAGGAATTGATAATAATGTTCATAAGTTGCGGGTTCCTTGTGGCCTGACTCAAGGTTCTTCAATTACAGTTATTGGCATTCCAAATGGACTTGTTGGGAATTTTCGGATTGAGTTGACAGGGGAGCCTCTTCCAGGGGAGCCTGATCCACCCGTTATATTGCATTACAATGTGAGGCTAAATGGTGATAAGCTAACCGAGGACCCCGTAATTGTCCAGAACACCTGGACTGTTGCTCATGATTGGGGTGAAGAGGAGCGTTGCCCATCCCCAACACCTGAAAAGAACAATAAAGGTTAAATTTCCTGCCTCATTTTTCTATTAGTCAGCTATAGCAAAAAGTTTAGTACATCGCTTCGTCTTTTGACATATTAAGTTGATAGTGGAATTTCAGTTTCAATATTATGAAACAATTTGACAATATAAATCAAGTTTGACCTTTTCCTTTAGCCCATTCTTCCATTTTTCACCAGGGTGTGCATCCATCAGATAAAACTATTTTCTTTATAAGTAATGCATATTAAGTTCAACCCTATTAAATAGATATTAGTACTTTGTTAGTTGCATAACCCAATTCAGACAGTGTTTCTGCAATACACTATGTGTGCAGTTATTAGTGACACTGAGAGCTATATGTATATATATTTTTAACATTTGGGTCATAGCATGCTAAACTGTCTTTGTAATTTTTACTAAAGACTGAATATAATGTTTTAATGTGAAATCATGTTCAATGACTAGTTTCTGTCCAGTTCTATAAGGCCTATTTATATTTACTCTTTCTCTGTATTAAAAGTGTCAATGGTTGCATGTGCCAGTGGATGAGTTGGACCAGTGCAACAAGATAGTCGGAAAAACTGAAGAGCAGAGGATACGTTCCAACGTTTCAAGGCAGTCTTCAACTGTGCAAGACGGATCAAAGTCCAGAAGATACTTTCCATTTAAGCAAGGTTATCCATTTGTTGCTACACTTAGAGTGGGTTCAGAAGGAATCCAAGTGACCGTTGATGGGAAGCATCTAACATCTTTTGCATTCCGTGAGGTAAGTTCTTCAATTTTAATTTTTCTTGTTGCGTTTGAAAGATAAACACTTGTCTCTTTGAATTCATATGCTGTTTTCCTGGTTTTGTTCAGACTTTGGAGCCATGGCTTGTTAGTGAATTAAGGATATCTGGAGACTTAAAACTAATGTCTGTCCTAGCCAGTGGTTTACCCTCATCAGAGGATTCGGAGCACATAATTAATTTAGAAGAACTCAAATCTGCTCCTCTCTCTCCTCACAGACGATTGGATCTCTTTATTGGTGTTTTCTCTACCGCAAACAATTTTAAACGAAGAATGGCTGTTCGAAGAACATGGATGCAGTATGCTGCTGTGCGATCAGGGGCAGTTTCAGTGCGCTTTTTTGTTGGTTTGGTGAGCTAAAGTCTTGTTCTTTGTTAAAGCATTAACAAAAATCAGCCATGTAAGATTGCATGGACAATTTTCAGTGGACCCAAAATGATCTTCTTTTAAAGGAAGGTCCTTCCGATGGACAGAGTCCTGATTCTTTTCATACCAATCCCCATCTTATTTCCAGATTTATCATTTTTTTTTTCTATCATTAGGCATGGTAAGCACTAAAATGCAAATTTATGCTCTGTTTGTTCACCCAAAAAATGTCTGTTTATTACTTCTTTCTGTTTCTTTTGAGCCTGTTGCTAAATTATTCATCAAGTTTGAAACGTATTGCAGCACAAGAACCAAATAGTGAATGAAGAACTCTGGAACGAGGCACAAACCTATGGAGACATACAGCTGATGCCTTTTGTTGATTACTATGGCCTCATTACCTGGAAAACTTTGGCCATCTGCATCTTTGGGGTAAAAATCTTACTTTTCCTTGAACATGGGAATGTCTGTTTTCCTGTTGTCATTGATTTAATCTCTTCAACAGACAGAGGTTGTTTCAGCAAAGTTTGTCATGAAGACGGATGACGATGCATTTGTCCGTGTGGATGAAGTGCTAGCTTCCTTAAACAGGATCAAGGTGACTCGTGGGCTGCTTTATGGCCTCATTAACTCAGATTCCCGACCTCATCGAAATCCAGATAGCAAGTGGTATATCAGCCCTGAGGTAATTTCTTTTGTTGATCCTATTTAAATATGAATGTATTTCCTTCTGCATATCATACCATGCAAGCTGTGATTTTCCGTTGGTTGAAAAAAAAAGTATCTACTTCTCACATAATTTTCTCCATTCATCGGCTGCTTTAATTTAGGAATGGCCCGAACAGACCTACCCACCATGGGCACACGGTCCTGGTTATGTGGTATCAAATGACATAGCAAAGGCAGTTTCGGCACGGTATAAGAAAGGCAGTTTAAAGGTAAGAAACAATCTACATTTTTAAACAACATAAAGAAAAGCGTGAAATGAGATGACATAATGATTTCTTTATTTGACCATCTGAAAGTAAAAACACTGCTTTGTCATATCAGATGTTCAAGCTAGAAGATGTGGCGATGGGCATCTGGATTGCAGATATGAAAAAGGAGGGTCTAAATGTACAGTACGTGAAGGAAGAGAAGGTCTACAACGTAGGGTGCAAGGATGGCTATGTCGTTGCGCATTACCAAGGTCCGAGGGAGATGCTTTGCCTGTGGCAGAAAATTCAAGAAGGCCAAGTTGCTAAATGCTGTGGGGGCGATAGGTAGACAAAATTAGATTATCCATTGGAAACATTTTGTAGCTTCATCAGCCTCCATCGAAGCTGAAGAGAGAAATCTTGGCAACCCGATCTTTTTGCAGAGAGTAGTTGACCAAGATTGACCAAGGCGCTAACTAAAGAGGAGATATTTTAGTGACTAGCCGACCACCATTGCTGTATATTTTAGTGATATTACGTAGTGTGATGCCATAGGATATATAGTGTTGAAATTTTGCGCGTTCAGCTTAGGATGCAAAAAAACTTACATGTAACGGGGATAGTACTGTTTTGCTATTCCCGGCCAATAACAAAATGACACGTGGAAAAGTTATCCTACGTGTTATTGCGTTATTGGCCGGAATAACAAAAAGTGCAATCCTTGTTACATGAGAGTTTCCTTAGGATGAGATAGAGAGGAGAGAAATGTGTTGAAATGTATAGAATCTGTGCGCAGTTAGCATGATTTACCTAGAATCCTAATCATTTTCTCACTCTTGAATCTTGCCCTTCTCATTTAAAGAAAAAAAAAATTAGAACAAAGGCAAAATAGATATTGCAAAAGAACAATTCAATTCCATGTATTATCAACAAGAGTTAACATAGTAGATGCAGATCTATCTTGGCAAGAACCCATGTTCAGAAATTGCAATCTCAAATGCCTGAATCCTTTCCCCCGTGGCAAAACCGTTGCGATCATAAGATGATAATTCATGTATGTTGAGATCGTTGCACGCCTTGATGAGCTCCTCGCCGACGCGTTTAGCAGCTTCCTATCAGATGTTATAGCAGAATGAAGTTTAGAGAATTTGCATTACTATCATCAAATGATTCTCTAAATTGACAGTGGCTGGCTGAGAGATATCTCTTACACAAGCTTGGAGTGCACTTACACTGGTACTACAAGGCGAATTCTGACGCATAGATTTTTGCAGAGTGCTTCCATAGAACAAACAGTTCTTGTTTTGATCATCTACCAGCATAGCATACAACTGTTTACCTGAACAGAATACCGAAAGCCGTGGTCTTTTAGGCGTGCCATTATACTGATCAAGAAGTAGAAAACCATGATTTAGCGGATTAGAAAACAAAATGAGCCCTAAGAAACTCACTTAACTCAAGCATCACATAGAACATTTGTCATCAAATGCAGGGAGGACGATATACCTTCTTTTGCATTCTTCTGTTTCGAATTTTCGCACTTTCTGTTCGGGCATTCCCCCTTGCTCTCATTACCAACGGCTTCACGGAGAAATCTACATGAATCACAGCATTTGTCAGTAAACCCAGAATGCAAATTTGCATGCACCAGTGATATAGCTTTTCCTTATCTTTTTAGCATTGGGCAAAAACACAGAACCATTGAGAAGGGTTTATATCTTTTGAAGAAAAAAATAATAATCTAGTGTAAGTTGGCTTTGACTTACTTATTCTGGTCTGCATGGGTTGTTGAAAGCTGGAAGTTGCTGAACGAATCCCGAAAAGAGCAGAAGCCGAAAATTGCAGAGCAGCAACATTCCCAAGAGCCATACTCATACACAAGTAGTTCCTTAACTGTTTGACTTGCTGAAAGTGAACAATGCACTATGTCACTTCGGGGTCCGAAACATCAAAACACACGCTGGAAATATTGAAAAACGCAAAACAAAGCCGTTCAGGAATTTCATCAAACACTTTGTGTGCGGTCCTTTCAGAAAGTTCAAATTGTAAACATCCTCGCATCAGCCGATTCAGCCATGACCCATCAATAGAGAAGAGACAGGCTTTCGTTCTGGCGGCTCTCTGGATTGTGCAAATTATATCTTCACCTTTTTTTTATTGGGCACCCTTTGAACTTTAGAAGGGTGAAGATAGACATAAATGCGTCTTGTACGAAAATTCGCAATCTTTTTATTTATTTTTTGTTTCAATAAACAATGTTTTTTTCCTCCAAAATGTGACGTGTCATTCGTCCCTAATTCCACGTCCTGTAAATACTTGATAAAATACTTATCCACGTGTTATTAGGATTCCCGCGGTCTCTAAAATAATCACAAATAAAATTCCAGATATTTCTTTTGTCCAGAAGTTCCAGATCTTTCTACAACCTTCTTCCTCACAGTTCTTCCCCTCTTAAAATCTGACCAGTCCCAAAGCCGAAACCCCATTCTCTATTTTTTTTTAAAAATTCTTTGTGATTCTTTAGCTTCCTCAAATCTCTCTTTGATTCTCCTGAAAATTCTCTCTTTCTTTGTTCTTGATCACAAATTAGCAGCAAGTACCATGGCTTCTGAAGCAGAGGCGTCTGAGATTGCTTCGTTTTTTGAAAGGATTGTGAGGGAGAGAGACCTGTCTCTGTTCGTGCCCTTTATCTTGGGCCTGGCAAGCGCTACCCCGAGAACTGACCCGGAAAACCCAGATCACGACAACCCAGATCAAGAAAACCCTGGAAGGCCGACCCCGCATGAAAGACTCATTTTCATCAACCCTTTCGCTCAGACTATGATGGTGGTCGAAGGCGATTCTCTGCAAGAGTTGGGTATGAAGGATGGCCAGCCACCGGCCTCGAAAGCCTCCATTGATGCCATGCCCTGTGTAAAGATTGTTGAAGGTGATGGTGGGTCCGAGTGTGTGATCTGCTTGGAGCAGTTTGAGATTGATGGTGTGGCCAAAGAGATGCCTTGCAAGCATAGGTTTCACGGTGGTTGTATAGAGAAGTGGTTGAAGATTCATGGGTCTTGCCCAGTTTGTCGGTATAACATGCCTGTTGATGAGGAAGAGCCGGGGAAGAAGAGCGATGGTGCGGACAGAGAGAGGAGGGTCGAGGGAGAGATTAGGGTTAGCTTTTATGTCCAAGAGAGCACGAGAGCAAGTGAGGATTCTGAGCAAACACCTTCAGGTGATTTTAATGCCAGTGATTCTTCTTCAAGCCCAGCAGCTGATCATGATGATATGCAGAGTTAGAAAACAAAAAATTTAAGATTTCTGTTCTTAGAAATTTGTAGGCAGGAACTAGGAAGTGATTTGTACAGGCTCGGAGCTTTAAGTTTCATCCGGTGAAATAGTATTTCAAATTTCTTTTGCCTCCTTTTTCAACTTTTATCATGATACGATGGTAAGGAGGAATATCAAAGTGAGTTGATGATGCACAGATCTAAATGCTGTGCAGAATTTCGAATTTGGAGTTGATCGTATTAACACAATTCTTTATTTTTTTCAAAACGGGTTATTTTTTCTGTTGTTTTGAGTGAATTTCAATCCTAAAAAAACTGAAACTTTTTATTCAAATATGTACATGGTAATTGGCTAATACAAGTTGATGAAACTCTGGGATATGATGGGTTTTAAGCATAATTAATTTCTATCTTCAAGAATCTTGATCCCTTGGTACCTTCCAAGCATCAACAGGGTGGCCATTGGATTTGTGCCTGGTGATTCCAGGAAGGTTGATCCATCAACTACTCTTAATCCTTTCACACCATATACCCTGTAATCTTTGTCAACAACTGACCCCACCGAGCAACCACCATGATAGTGGTAGAAGGTCCTCACATTCTTCTTGCACAATTTTCTTAGCTCATCTTCAGTGGACATCAACTCATTTTTGCGTTCCAACCCCAGGAAGAAAGCAATTGATTCAGACCTTACAACTCGCTCAAGCAACTGCCCTAGCTTTACACATCTTGCCCAATCCTTTTCCTTTGCTAGATAGTTAAAAGTCACAGATGGGTTTTCTCTGGGGTCTGTGCTGTTCAGTTCTAGCTTTCCTTCTGATTCTGGAAACGCAAGTTTGGCAGCAATTGGCATTACTGTTGCATTGAGGCTAATAGGTAAAATTCCTGCCTCAATTATGATTTTGAAGTGATCTGCTATGCCGACAACTTTTGGAGGTTCTGGTGTGAAATTTTTAGGCTTAGAGTCGGCTAAGAGTGCAATGCCAGGATTGTCTTTCATTCCTTTTCCAACCCCTTTTAAGTCGGCTGCTAGTTGGATATTGAACTTCTTTAGATGTTTCTGAGGGCCAATGCCACTTAACAATAAAATCTGAGGGCTGCCTAAGGACCCTGCTGCTAGTATCACATCACCCCATGAACATGAGTTCTCTGGCTGGTTGAGGTAAGCATCGTAAGTTTGGCTCGAACTGCCGTCGCTCTGGATGAATCTTATGCCTCTAGCTATTGTCTCATTTCTGTTACCTGCAAAACCATTTAGGAATTCAACCATATAAAGGCCTTTTATCAGTAAAGAACTAGCACCAGTTTCATGCTTTACCTTTTTCACGAAAGATGACATTCTTCACAGTTGCATTTAAAAGAACTGTGATGTTGTTTGGATTCCCTGCCTCTAGAAGATCAGCTGAGGTGTGTCTTCGTCCCCATTCATCAAATACACTCCCGCCAACCTTTGTTCCCTCAATATGCTCCAAACTAAAACCATTATATGGGAAAATTCCTGCTTCAAGAAAGCTAAACTCAGCAACATACTGCCATGGGGTCAATTCAGGTTTAAAGACAATTCTCGATTCCACCCATTGATAAGCACCCATTACCACCTCCTTATCCCACCCAACTTTTTGGACAAAATCCTCACTTGCTCTACTATAAAACCCACCATTTATAGCAGATGATCCTCCTAGAACTCTTCCTCTGAGATTGGGAACACCGTCATTGGAGATAAAGCTCTGTGCAACTGATGTATATTTATCAGTTCGAAGCAATGAGAGCCCATAGTTCTTTGTTTCCAACACCAACGGATTTCCATATGGTGAGCTACCTCGTTCCACCAAGAGCACTGAGAATTTCTCAGAGAGGGTTGCAGCTAGGGGACAGCCAGCGGTGCCTCCTCCAACGACAATGTAATCGAAGGACTTGCCTGAGACTTCATTGACATCTGAAGTCATATGGGGAAGCGTTTGTCCTACAATCACAATTAGCAAAGCAGGATATCAATGTAGAACTTCTAAATGAGATGTTTGCTAAAAATAAACAGGGTAATGGTAGTAGCATACCTTGAAGCCATGAGGAACATAAAGCCAAGTCAACAAATAGGAGGAGCAGATAAAATGAAAAGCCCATTACCAAGAATAGTTTGTTGTAGTAGGAGTTCCAGGCCTGGTGCTTCCATATAACTGTGGATTAAGGAGAGAGACAGGCATAGTTTATTTCCGTAGGGGGTGGGACAGACAATTATAGAGTTAGTTGGTGCTAGTAGCATATTATTATAATTGATTGATTTCCTCTGCATTCATTAGATAACATGCGCATGGCTTAGCTAGTAATCCATCCTTTTTTATTGTTGGGCGTCTAATGATTTTGTTTCTATCATGATTTCTCTCGCCCTTCACTGGTTTTTCCTTTAGAATGTGTAGTGGAAAATTGTATCTAAATAATGCCCTGCCTGCCCTTGACAAACATAGAAAATACATTTCAAGAACGCTATGATGTTATCGATTGACATGATTATATCAAGTCATGCGACATGCAGCTATAAAGTAGGTATCATATATCTACAAAACATTCTATACGCTCTATCTTATGACCCAAAAAGCGAGTTTGTTAAGTTTAATTTAGGAACTTCATGATCAGACAGGAGCAGTGAGCAGTTTCCGGGTTGGCATTCAACACACGTTCATGTACGCACATGAGAGAGATATATATATATATATATATATATATATATCCACACAATCTATTATACCTTCTTTTAATATGAATATACTTTCAAAAGTCCTTGGAGGTCCATACATATAACAATGTACATAGTATATAAAAAAAAGATTAGCACTTAATGGGAATTAAGTTTGCTCCATAGACTACATATAACTAAACCCAGATGGTTTCAAACTTGAGGTCTTAAATTCCCTTGCAATTCAAGTCTATTACTTTTGGACCAGAATCAATGTCATTCTGATATTTTCTGTTCAGATCAATTGTGGCCGATAATCCAGACTTTCTCAGATGCTGGCCACTTTTGTCCCTTTGTGTTGGTGTCCTTTTAGAAATTGGTTGCTCAACACAGATACCATCAGAAATGGGACTGCTGCTTCTCTTCCTCCCAATAACATGATTGTTTGTAACATTATTCCATGGCTTATTTTCTGGGTGGATGTCCATCAATGGTAGCTCCACACAGGTTGTATTAGACTTTTCAGGATCACCACCATGCTTATGCATTGGTTGCTTCTCTTCCTTCCTTCCTGAACTTTCAGAAGATGTCAAGGAACTTTCCATGGAGCCTCTCATTTGTTTCCTCTCTATGTATTTTAGGCTTGAAGTTCCTGTTTCAGTTAATTCTGAGAATGAAGAACTGGGACATCCATTGTTAACCATTGAGACTAACTGAGTGAGTTCAGCCTTTGCAAGTTCTACTCCCACTGAAGAAGAACTATACCCAGAAAGAGTTTCTTGTGCTTTCTTTAATACTGTTTGTAAATACTTCCCTTGAGCTTCAATTCTTAGCTGAAGATGTCTCTGCACCTGAAAACAGAACTCTGGGTTTGTTGGCATGCATTGGTAGTTTTTAAATCTGTTTATGAATTGAGGATGGGTTTATATTGGTTTATCGGTTTTACCTCAATTTGTTCATGAAGTTTCCTCTGCACTTCCATTTGTAATTGGAGAGACTCGGCTATCTGCAAGCTTCTGATAAACATAACAACACTTAATCAATAGGAGTTCTTTGTGTTGTCATTTCCATCTAAATTCATCAAAGAGATGGGATCTATTTTCTAACTATATTACTCATTAATCTGACAGTGAGTTTCATCACTGATATCCGTGTCGAAATGATCATCACTGCTCTGAATCTCTTTGTAATCTGCATCAAGGGAGGACAATCAATATTAAGATTTCAAGAAGATTAAGAAGAAAAAAGAGAGTAA